GACGGCCTGATGGCCACAACCAATGGACGGCCTGATGGCCACAACCAATGGACGGCCTGAAGGCCACAACCAATGGACGGCCTGATGGCCACAACCAATGGACGGCCTGATGGCCACAACCAATGGACGGCCTGATGGCCACAACCAATGGACGGCCTGATGGCCACAACCAATGGACGGCCTGATGGCCTGATGGCCACAACCAATGGACGGCCTGATGGCCACAACCAATGGACGGCCTGATGGCTAGTTTGTCAACATTCCAACCCAGTTATCAACTTCCTGTATTCAGCTTGAGGCGGTAATCCTTGTCAAATTTGTTCACTGTGGGGTGGGTGGCTGGTGGGGGTGGGGGTGGGTAGTTGGTGGGGGTGGGTGGCTGGTGGGGGTGGGGGTGGGTTGTTGGTGGGGGTGGGTGGCTGGTGGGGGTGGGGGTGTGTGGATGTTTGGGGTGGGCCCGTGGGTTGGCTTGTGGGTTGAATGATGTGTGGGCGGTGGTGTGGATGAGGGGTAAGCGTTGAGTATTTATCAAAATTACGAAATTATCTCCGTCACCAAATGAATGTAACAGGGGGGGGGGGCATCACTGCTTTAGATCTATTAATAGATTCACGGAAGCCATTAATTCAATTACCGCAATTTGATTACATAGCCAGATGTTTGCCACGTCCTGCGATAAACTGTCACGCCATCACGTGATGTTATGTGGTCACGTGATGTTATGTGATGTTGGTATTTCTAGCACTGGTCGACAAAGTGGCACAGGTCCCATTATCTTTGTGTGTGTGTTGGGGTGGGGGGGGGGGGGGGGCAGGCCGTTAATTGGACCCACAATCAGGACATAAATGAAATAATAAAATAGTTTATAATTTTTATTTTTCGTCTTGAACCACTACAGCTTTGGTTAAATCCTACACTACAGCTTTGGTTAAATCCTACACTACAGCTTTGGTTAAATCCTACACTACAGCTTTGGTTAAATCCTACACTACAGCTTTGGTTAAATCCTACACTACAGCTTTGGTTAAATCCTACACTACAGCTTTGGTTAAATCCTACACTACAGCTTTTGTTAAATCCTACACTACAGCTTTGGTTAAATCCTACACTACAGCTTTGGTTAAATCCTACACTACAGCTTTGGTTAAATCCTACACTACAGCTTTGGTTAAATCCTACACTACAGCTTTGGTTAAATCCTACACTACAGCTTTGGTTAAATCCTACACTACAGCTTTGGTTAAATCCTACACTACAGCTTTGGTTAAATCCTACACTACAGCTTTTGTTAAATCCAACACTACAGCTTTGGTTAAATTCTACACTACAGCTTTGGTTTTAAATCCTACACTACAGCTTTGGTTAAATCCTACACTACAGCTTTGGTTAAATCCTACACTACAGCTTTGGTTAAATCCTACACTACAGCCTTGGTTAAATCCTACACTACAGCTTTGGTTAAATCCTACACTACAGCTTTGGTTAAATCCTACACTACAGCTTTGGTTAAATCCTACACTACAGCTTTGGTTAAATCCTACACTACAGCTTTGGTTAAATCCTACACTACAGCTTTGGTTAAATCCTACACTACAGCTTTGGTTAAATCCTACACTACAGCTTTGGTTAAATCCTACACTACAGCTTTGGTTAAATCCTACACTACAGCTTTGGTTAAATCCTACACTACAGCTTTGGTTAAATCCTACACTACAGCTTTGGTTAAATCCTACACTACAGCCTTGGTTGAATCCTACACTACAGCTTTGGTTAAATCCTACACTACAGCTTTGGTTAAATTCTACATTACAGCCTTGGTTAAATCCTACACTACAGCTTTGGTTAAATCCTACACTACAGCTTTGGTTAAATCCTACACTACAGCTTTGGTTAAATCCTACACTACAGCTTTGGTTAAATCCTACACTACAGCTTTTGTTAAATCCAACACTACAGCTTTGGTTAAATTCTACACTACAGCTTTGGTTAAATCCTACACTACAGCTTTGGTTAAATCCTACACTACAGCTTTGGTTAAATCCTACACTACAGCTTTGGTTAAATCCTACACTACAGCCTTGGTTAAATCCTACACTACAGCTTTGGTTAAATCCTACACCACAGCTTTGGTTAAATCCTACACTACAGCTTTGGTTAAATCCTACACTATAGCTTTGGTTAAATCCTACACTACAGCTTTGGTTAAATCCTACACTACAGCTTTGGTTAAATCCTACACTACAGCTTTGGTTGAATCCTACACTACAGCCTTGGTTGAATCCTACACTACAGCTTTGGTTAAATCCTACACTACATCCTTGGTTAAATCCTACACTACAGCTTTGGTTAAATCCTACACTACAGCTTTAGTTAAATCCTACACTACAGCTTTGGTTAAATCCTACACTACAGCTTTGGTTAAATCCTACACTACAGCTTTGGTTAAATCCTACACTACAGCTTTGGTTAAATCCTACACTACAGCTTTGGTTAAATCCTACACTATAGCTTTGGTTAAATCCTACACTACAGCTTTGGTTAAATCCTACACTACAGCTTTGGTTAAATCCTACACTACAGCTTTGGTTAAATCCTACACTACAGCTTTGGTTAAATCCTACACTACAGCTTTGGTTAAATCCTACACTACAGCTTTGGTTAAATCCTACACTACAGCTTTGGTTAAATCCTACACTACAGCTTTGGTTAAATCCTACACTACAGCCTTGGTTGAATCCTACACTACAGCTTTGGTTAAATCCTACACTACAGCTTTGGTTAAATCCTACACTACATCCTTGGTTAAATCCTACACTACAGCTTTGGTTAAATCCTACACTACAGCTTTGGTTAAATCCTACACTACAGCTTTGGTTAAATCCTACACTACAGCTTTGGTTAAATCCTACACTACAGCTTTGGTTAAATCCTACACTACAGCTTTGGTTATATCCTACACTACAGCTTTGGTTAAATCCTACACTATAGCTTTGGTTAAATCCTACACTATAGCTTTGGTTAAATCCTACACTACAGCTTTGGTTAAATCCTACACTACAGCTTTTGTTAAATCCTACACTACAGCTTTGGTTAAATCCTACACTACAGCTTTGGTTAAATCCTACACTACAGCTTTGGTTAAATCCTACACTACAGCTTTGGTTAAATCCTACACTACAGCTTTGGTTAAATCCTACACTACAGCTTTGGTTGAATCCTACACTACAGCTTTGGTTAAATCCTACACTACAGCTTTGGTTAAATCCTACACTACAGCTTTGGTTAAATTCTACACTACAGCTTTGGTTAAATCCTACACTACAGCTTTGGTTAAATCCTACACTGCAGCTTTGGTTAAATATTACACTACAGCTTTGGTTAAATCCTACACTACAGCTTTGGTTAAATCCTACACTACAGCTTTGGTTAAATCCTACACTACAGCTTTGGTTAAATCCTACACTACAGCTTTGGTTGAATCCTACACTACAGCTTTGGTTGAATCCTACACTACAGCTTTGGTTGAATCCTACACTACAGCTTTGGTTGAATCCTACACTACAGCTTTGGTTAAATCCTACACTACAGCTTTGGTTGAATCCTACACTACAGCTTTGGTTAAATCCTACACTACAGCTTTGGTTAAATCCTACACTACAGCTTTGGTTAAATCCTACACTACAGCTTTGGTTAAATCCTACACTACAGCTTTGGTTAAATCCTACACTACAGCTTTGGTTAAATCCTACACTACAGCTTTAGTTAAATCTTACACTACAGCTTTGGTTAAATCCTACACTACAGCTTTGGTTAAATCCTACACTACAGCTTTGGTTAAATCCTACACTACAGCTTTGGTTAAATCCTACACTACAGCTTTGGTTAAATCCTACACTACAGCTTTGGTTAAATCCTACACTACAGCTTTGGTTAAATCCTACACTACAGCTTTGGTTGAATCCTACACTACAGCTTTGGTTGAATCCTACACTACAGCTTTGGTTAAATCCTACACTACAGCTTTGGTTAAATCCTACACTACAGCTTTGGTTAAATCCTACACTACAGCTTTGGTTAAATCCTACACTACAGCTTTGGTTAAATCCTACACTACAGCTTTGGTTAAATCCTACACTACAGCTTTGGTTAAATCCTACACTACAGCTTTGGTTAAATCCTACACTACAGCTTTGGTTAAATCCTACACTACAGCTTTGGTTAAATCCCACACTACAGCTTTGGTTAAATCCTACACTACAGCTTTGGTTGAATCCTACACTACAGCTTTGGTTAAATCCTACACTACAGCTTTGGTTAAATCCTACACTACAGCTTTGGTTAAATCCTACACTAAAGCTTTGGTTAAATCCTACACTACAGCAGTGGTTAAGTTGTCCGAAAATTGTGTACTAACTTTTTGGTAGTTTAGATTTGGGCGAGTCAGTACTGGTCATCCAGTCAAAAGTACCAAAAGAATTCTTCCACACCACTGACACCACTGACCACACCACTGACCACACCACTGACCACACCACTGACCACACCACTGTCCACACCACAGACCACACCACTGACCACACCACTGACACCACTGACCACACCACTGACCACACCACTGACCACACCACTGACACCACTGACCACACCACTGACCACACCACTGACCACACCACTGACCACACCACTGACCACACCACTGACCACACCACTGACACCACTGACCACACCACTGACCACACCACTGACCACACTACTGACCACACCACTGACCACACCACTGACCACACCACTGACCACACCACACCACTGACCACACCACTGAAACCACTGACCACACCACTGACCACACCACTGACCACACCACTGACCACACCACTGACCACACCACTGACCACACCACTGACCACACCACTGATCACACCACTGACCACACCACTGACCACACCACTGACCACACCACTGACCACACCACTTACCACACCACTGACCACATCATTTACCGTTCTTCCCGGGCGATTCATTCTGTAAGGCCACCTTGACACATGCGCATAAGATGAGCAAAGTGATATCGAGCATTCTTGACGTCATCCTGCCATCACGTGACCTTGAGGTCTCACCTGCTTGAATGTGTCACCTGTACCTGTCTCAAACACTCACACTAGAGTCACCAGCATCTCATCTGGAAAATATTATATATATATATATATATATATATATATATATATATATATATATATATATATATATATATATATATATATATATATATATATATATATATATATGTGTGTGTACTAGCTGCATACTTGTGCTCCGCCACGGTAAATCTTTTTTTAAATGTACCAACTTGGGAACAGAACAAAACTAAACACAACACGAACACAGCACAAACACAACACAAAACAAACACAATACAAGCACAACACAAACACAACACAACACACAAGAAAACATACCGCCGGCGGACGCGCCTGATTCAGTGAATGACTATAAAAACCCCAACTTGTCCGCAAACAGAAAGATAGAATGATAATTAGTAAACAGTACGTTCAGTGTATAAAATTTTAAAAAGGCAGTATTTTAAATATCCATATTTTACCTACAATATAGCACTTTATCAACGTATGCATTTTTTTCCCAGTTCTTTAAATTTAAAAAATTCACAATAGATTTTCATGATTTAAACCATTGCGCACCTAATGAACGTGATGACAAGTGTATAATGTTGCGGAATAGTTAATTAAAAATTATCATTAGTAAACAGTACGTTCAGTGAATAAAATAAATAAAAGATAGCCTTTTATCAAACCATGCTAATTATAATATTCCAACAATAATGTCCTCTTACACGTCAACATAATTTGCATTCACATTTTGCTAATTATATTACTCCTGGAGATTTTGCATTCACTTTTTTTATTAGCGTGAGTTAAATTTATTTTCAAATTACCTCCCTTTGAAAAATACAGCTTAATTAGTTTTTTCGACCCTATTATTATTAAAACGTATCCACGTTTTCTAGGAATCTAAACAAAAATGATACTTGACATTAATCCGTTTAATATGTTTTAGCAATTTAATATTTAATATTTTCTTTACGTTATGCGAAAGAGTAAAAACGGTGGCACCTATAAAACTACAAGACAGACACAGACACACCCATATATATATATATATATATATATATATATATATATATATATATATATATATATATATATATATATATATATATATGGTTCCATGACAAATGATTTCAGGACAAATGATCTCAGGACAAATGATCTCAAGGACAAATGATCTCAAGGACAAAAGATACCAGGACAAAATATATCAGGACAAATGATATCATGGACAAATGATCTCAGACAAAATATCTCAGACAAAATATCTCACAGCAAAATGTTGATAGTATGTACAATGATTTTAGTTCATTTGAACTTTTTTTTAAATTGACTGTCAATATGGTTTTGTTTACTTTCTTTACGCATCATAATTGTGAATAAAATGAATTTGTTAAACTTAACAAACCATCAAAAGATTTATTTAACTTAATCTTTGTAATGGCCTTTGATTTGAAAAAAAATAATAATTAAAACAAACTTTCTCCTTTAGCCTGAAAGGTATGATAAATGATAATGTATAAAACAAAGTAACGGTAGCTATACAACAATAATGTTTAAAACATGCGAAATATCTTTCAAAAATATTAATGGGTCTCTAGGTTCGTAACGTAAAATTATTGTTTTTATTGCATGATCAACACAAACATAACGTTTACGTTTCTTTGCTGACAGTACATCGTTATGATCACACCTCTCCAATACTATGTGATCATGTATTGTGTGAACTCTTGCTCGACATGTTCTAACTCCGCGATGACCGCTGTTTGTATTAAATAAGCATTATTCACCTGATCACTAAGGTGTGACCGACGCATAACTATTGAATTTAGCTATTAGTTGTATTGTTCATGGAGGGCGGATGTCTTTCCCTTAAGGCATGTCTCTACCATCAAAGCGGGCTGCCACCTTGATACGAAGGTGTTTCTCTATTGTTTTTTCATCCTCTTTGATCTAGTTTCGTCCACCTGACATGGTTGGATTGTCTCATGTTTGGCAAGCCCGCCTACGCGGTCTATCGAACAATTTCTTTAATTTTCTATAGTAATAATCCTAATTTTAAAATGCAATATACAATTTTAAAAGTGCAATATGATAAATTTATACGGCAAACATTTCTTACAATTATCATATGGGCCTATAAACAATATTAAACATATTAAACAAAACCATACGACAGTTATTAAAAATTGTTCAGATCAACTAAAGTCACCCAATACACTATTAAAATTTAGGTGTGAGATATTTTGTCTGAGATATTTTGTCTGAGATCAATTGTCCGTGGTATCATTTGTCCTGATATATTTTGTCCTGGTATCTTTTGTCCGTGAGATCATTTGTCCTTGAGATCATTTGTCCTGAGATCATTTGTCCGTGAGATATTTTGTCTGAGATATTTTGTCTGAGATAATTTGTCCTGAGATCATTTGTCCTGTCACCATATATATATATATATATATATATATATATATATATATATATATATATATATATATATATATATATATATATATATATATATATATATATACATATATATATATATATATGTATATATATATATATATATATGGGTGTAATGGCACCCAAAATACTGCGGTTTGGTGTCAGCCAAAAGATTGCGACATTTGTCTCAGAGCTGAGAGGCGTTACATCTTAAAGATGAATGAATCTATTCCATCTGGAAATATCTTATTGATTTCTGGCCGACACACGGGGAGTTTTCAACCAGTCTCACACTTCGTGCTGACTTTGCTGCTAAAATATGGCCAGTCTCTTCTAACATGGCCAAACTACCAAAAACATGACCAAATATAATAAAACATGGCCAATCTACCAAAACAATGACACATCAACCAAACACATGGCCATATTACTAAAACATCTAATCACACATAGCAAATTCACTAAAACAATCTACTACAATAAGGGCTGCACAAAAACACAACTGTCCAATCTATAAACATCATGTTTTCTGGCTAGCCTAAAGTAGAAAATGGCCAACAAAATTTTTTTGCCTAATAAAATCACCAGATCTAGGCATAGCAAATGTAATCTAGACCAGAGTATATGTAATCTAGACCCCAGTAAATGTAATCTAGACCCCAGCAAATGTAATCTAGACCCCAGTAAATGTAATCTAGACCACAGAAAATGTAATCTAGACCAGAGTAAATGTAATCTAGACCCCAGTAAATGTAATCTAGACCCCAGTATATGTAATCTAGCCCCCAGTAAATGTAATCTAGACCCGAGTAAATGTAATCTAGACCAGAGTAAATGTAATCTAGACCCGAGTAAATGTAATCTAGACCAGAGTATATGTAATCTAGACCCCAGCAAATGTAATCTAGACCCGAGTAAATGTAATCTAGACCAGAGTATATGTAATCTAGACCCCAGCAAATGTAATCTAGACCCCAGAAAATGTAATCTAGACCAGAGTAAATGTAATCTAGACCCGAGTAAATGTAATCTAGACCCCAGCAAATGTAATCTAGACCCGAGTAAATGTAATCTAGACCAGAGTAAATGTAATCTAGACCAGAGTAAATGTAATCTAGACCCCAGTAAATGTAATCTAGACCCCAGTAAATGTAATCTAGACCCCAGTAAATGTAATCTAGACCCCAGTAAATGTAATCTAGACCCCAGCAAATGTAATCTAGACCCGAGTAAATGTAATCTAGACCCCAGTAAATGTAATCTAGACCCGAGTAAATGTAATCTAGACCCGAGTAAATGTAATCTAGACCCGAGCAAATGTAATCTAGACCCGAGTAAATGTAATCTAGACCAGAGTAAATGTAATCTAGACCCCAGTAAATGTAATCTAGACCCCAGCAAATGTAATCTAGAACCCAGTAAATGTAATCTAGACCAGAGTATATGTAATCTAGACCCCAGTAAATGTAATCTAGACCAGAGTATATGTAATCTAGACCCGAGTAAATGTAATCTAGACCCCAGTAAATGTAATCTAGACCAGAGTAAATGTAATCTAGACCAGAGTATATGTAATCTAGACCCCAGTAAATGTAATCTAGACGCCAGTAAATGTAATCTAGACCCCAGCAAATGTAATCTAGACCCGAGTAAATGTAATCTAGACCCGAGTAAATGTAATCTAGACCAGAGTAAATGTAATCTAGAACCCAGTAAATGTAATCTAGACCCGAGTAAATGTAATCTAGACCCGAGTAAATGTAATCTAGACCCCAGTAAATGTAATCTAGACCCGAGTAAATGTAATCTAGACCCGAGTAAATGTAATCTAGACCCCAGTAAATGTAATCTAGACCCCAGCAAATGTAATCTAGACCCCAGTAAATGTAATCTAGACCAGAGTAAATGTAATCTAGACCCCAGCAAATGTAATCTAGGCCAGAGTAAATGTAATCTAGACCCCAGCAAATGTAATCTAGACCCGAGTAAATGTAATCTAGACCAGAGTAAATGTAATCTAGACCAGAGTATATGTAATCTAGACCCCAGCAAATGTAATCTAAAACCCAGTAAATGTAATCTAGGCCAGAGTAAATGTAATCTAGACCCGAGTAAATGTAATCTAGAACCCAGCAAATGTAATCTAGAACCCAGTAAATGTAATCTAGACCAGAGTATATGTAATCTAGACCCCAGCAAATGTAATCTAGAACCCAGTAAATGTAATCTAGACTAGAGTAAATGTAATCTAGACGCCAGTAAATGTAATCTAGACCCCAGCAAATGTAATCTAGACCCGAGTAAATGTAATCTAGACCCGAGTAAATGTAATCTAGGCCAGAGTAAATGTAATCTAGACCCGAGTAAATGTAATCTAGAACCCAGCAAATGTAATCTAAAACCCAGTAAATCTAATCTAGACCAGAGTAAATGTAATCTAGACCCCAGCAAATATAATCTAGACCCCAGCAAATGTAATCTAGACCCCAGCAAATGTAATCTAGAACCCAGTAAATGTAATCTAGACCCCAGTAAATGTAATCTAGACCCCAGTAAATGTAATCTAGACACCAGTAAATGTAATCTAGACCCGAGTAAATGTAATCTAGAA